AGGGATCATTACCCTTACGAACACTTCTAAGCCATACCGCCACGACATAACGTTGGGAATGAAGTTCTCGTAGTGCGACCCCTTCCCCTCCAAAAATAAAACCCACCGAGCAAGGAAGGGCAAGAATAGGACAGTCGCTATGAGGAATCCTCAAAGTCGAGAGATCATTAAATGATAAAGAATTAGGCTAGCGGTGAGACCAACCTAGTTCTTCATCACTCAATGCTGAGAGACTAGTTCTACTTGACTACTGCTGATATTGGCACTGGTGCTACGTTACGCGTTACGTAGAATTTAAGCTATCGTCAACACATTCTTAAATCAAGTGGTCCCAAGAAAGACCCTGTCAAGTCTACTGCTACCAGCTGGCGGGTGGACTTTGATGGAACAGTTTCGTCCATATGATGAATGGAAATTTGTACAATGGCTGACGACTGACTGGGACCAGAACCGGAAATACCAAATACCACATAACCAACTCTGTTACGAGATTTCCAGAGACTTGATGCTATTCTCAATGAACGAAGCACGAATGTCCTGCTCTCACTGGGCACTATTTCTCAGGCTAAGGATATGCCTTCAAGGCTCAAAAAAGGTATGATAAAGTAGTGATCGTCATATCTTAATGGCTGTTGTTTTAGCAGTTAATTAAATTCTGAACGAAATTCGTGAACCGAGACGGTGCTCAGCGATGGGTAATTTATGAAATGTTTTAGATATAGTTGACGCATTCTCTGCATTCTCAAACACGACGTTCATTTGGAAATATGAGAACGAAAGCGATTCACATCTGTTCGACAATCGTCCCAACATTTACGCCATGAAGTGGGTACCGCAACTGGACCTTTTAGGTAGGTCGCTCAATGTCTGCCTTCATTAGGCCCCATGCTTTGCTTATTTTGACGCCTTCGACGTGAGATCGTCTAATCTAGAACGACTTCCTATCATTTAACCCATGAGAGCGTTGGAAAACTCCCTTTGATCCGCATACTCAATGAAAAATTGCAGGAGACTCACGATTATCCG